GGGAATGCTTTTCAACTCTTTATGAGACCAGCATAATTTGAGATATCAACCTTGGCAAAATATTCAAGAAAAGAAATTATGTTCTCTTGTGAATATAGATGCAAAAATTCTCAAGAAAATATTAGCAAGCAGAATCAGTAATTGTAAAGAGGATAGTATATCTCAAAGTGGGTTTTTGTCCAAAAATGCAAGGGTAATTTACATATGAACATTGGTTAATGTAGTTCATACTTCACCAAGGAAAAAAGATGAAAATCACAATAAGAATCTTGATGATAGGACTGGAGGTATGGCTCAAGTGGTAGAGTGCTTGCTTTGCAAGGGCAAAACCCTGAGTTCAAACCCCAATCTCACCAAAAAAACAGTAAAAAGAATGATGATAATAATAATCTAGGAATAAAAGGGAAATTCCCTAATATGAAGGAAACATAATATTGAAATAAAAACTTTTCCTTGGAAATCAAAAAAAGGTTGCTTGTTTTCACTGTTTCTATTCAGCATGATTCTATAGATTAAGAACTCAGAAATAGGAAACAAAATGAAAACTCTCAAATTATGTTTTAAAATTGGATACTTAGGAATTAATTCAATGAAAAATGTGCAAGATTTGTACACAACTACAGAACAATTAAAACAATTATACTGTAAAACAGAATACTAGAGACCTAAGAACAGTGAGTGATATACACTCATGGCATGATTCAACAAGAATAGTGGGGACCCCAAATTCTTTCCAACATTCTTTTTGAATGGTAGGGGTCTATGTGCTTTTGCTCTGAATTTGAGTGAGTTTGTGACTACTTCAATGAAATACAGTACTAGTGGCAATATGTGGCTTCAAAGGCTAGATCATAAAAGGTCATTCAGTTCACCCCTCATTCTCTTGGAGCACTTTATCTGCAGATGATCCTTCTTGGAGCTGAGTCACCTACCATGTTGTGAGATGTTCAAGCCACAAAGAAAGGCTATTAATAAATGCTTCATAAGATCATACCTGCCCAATTATCAACATATGAGTGGAGAGTTAACCCTGGCTAACACCCTAAGCACCACAGAGTGATAAGAAACACTTATTGTGCCCCATCCCAATTTCTGATCCAACAGAATCAATGTATATAATACAATGGTCGCTCTTTTACAACACACCTAGTTTGAGGTAGCTTGTTATTCAGCAATTTTAAAACAAGAACAAAAGAATAACAAAGTTACTCTATAGATTCAATATAATCCCAATTAAAATCTCAGCAGGAGAAATGGAAAAGTGATTCTAAAATGCATATGGAATTACAATGGACCTGAACAGCCAAAATAATAACGTAAAGTAACAAAACTGGAAGACCAACACTTCCTTATTTAAAAGTGACCACAAGCTACGGTAATTAAAACTGTGGGACTGGCTTAAGGCATATAGGTGGGTAGGGCAGAACTGAGGGTTCAGAATAAGCCTTCATGGGCAGTTGATTTTCATCAAGACCATTCACGGGGAAAGAATAGTCTTTTCAACAAATTGTATGGAACTTTTTGCAAAGGCCTGTTTGCAAAGTTGGCCTTTGGCTGACATCTAAAAACTTGGCTTTTTAAACTTTTTCTCCCTAAGTGATAAGGTTGTGCCTGCTATACTAGCCCAACTAGACTTTAAAAACAAAAGTGATTTATGGTGAACACCTGCTTCCCTTCTGGGGCACTAGAATTTGAAGGACACAGGTTACCCACATGATCAGTACCCAGTAAAAATCCTAGACTTGAGTTTTCAAACTGACTTCTTCAGGCAGAAGCATTGTGCCTTGTTACTGCTGGAACAGTATGCTCTGATGTGGCCCCTTCAGGGAGAGCACAGGCAGCCTGCAGGTGGATTCCTCCAGACTCTGTCCTATCTCTTTTCTCCTTACTGACCCAGCTGTGTATCATGGTTGGGTCCTAATAAAATCTTACATGCAAAGATGACCATGTGCCAAGTCCTGTAAGTTCTACTGACATACCAAATGTGTTAGTGGCTACCACAACCTGTATTATTAGGAATTTATACTACATATTTCATACACGACTCAGTGATCTTCTTCACTTTTGGGGGGTGCGGGGAGGCTGGAACTCAAAACCAGGTCTTGCTATACTAAGCACATGCTTTACCACTAGGCAATATTCCCAGTCCAGAGATTCCAGAGCTTTCCTAACAACGAAATTACATGGGAGTGTATTTCAGACCTTACGCATGTCCCATTACACTGAAGTACACTAAAGCTTTCTCATGAGGTCAGAAAGGCACAGCTCACCCTCTGTAACAGCAGAACCTAATAGGATGGTAAAAGTTCTTTAAATAAATGTATTTTATTGTACAAAGTGCCCAAATACTCACACTTTTAGGTGAGTCTTTTCCTATTAGTTTCATTTACAATTTAAAACCAACATTCTTATGTAACAAGACAATGGAAAAGAAATTTGAATGTAACAAATACTAATAAGTAATAATTCTATCAGACTGTCATCAAAAATATGATTTGCATTACAAATTATATCTACAACCAAAAACATCAGCTGTTTATAAATTTTCAATTATCACTACTACTGAAAAAATTTCTGGTGAAAGTTTATGAGTTACAAAGCTTAAGATGAGCTAACAGACATCACTCAGTATGGAAAAAAAAGGAGGAATGATATTTATGCACAACATTTTTTTACAAAGTTGAAAATTAGGGAATCTCTAACTGCTGCCTCCTTTGTAAAATGCAATTGTCAGACAATAAAAAAAGATGCATGGTAAAAATGAGTGCTGGGGCTGCTGCTCAGTGAGCAAGCAAGAAGCCTAGGTTCAACCCTAGTACACACA